CCCCCCCCCAATAATGTTTGTTTGTGCAGGAAGATTTGGGTGGGGGGAGACTGGAACTCACATATACTGTCTACCCATTAAAACCTACAGAACACAGACTCTGGGCTTTTGGCCCTCCAGATCTGCATAAGCATGGATTCAATAGCTCTGTAGGAACTGACCCAAATTAGAAAACCTGTTCATTGATTCAAGAGGTTTTGAATCAAGTCCTTTTCTTTGGTTCTTTGTGAACCCCCTCTATGTGGCTATATCAGTTTCAAAATAAGACATTTTATAAATCAATTTACACTAAGAGAGCAAGTGTGCTTCTTATTTATTCCTGGAGACGAGACAACATAAAACAAGAACTCCCCACCCCCCATATAGTAGCCTACACAATTCTGCGTCCCATCTGCCATGTGCTCACCTGCAAACAAAACAAAAAGTAAGCTAAGCCTTGCAGCATGTCTTAAAGCAGGCCTGTCCAATGTCTAAATGGGGGGGGAGGGGGCTCCATGCCCCAAAGGGCGGTGCTAGTGTGAGCTGTGGGCTTCTGGGCCACACCCACCTTGCCATACCATGTGGGTGGGTAGTCTCTCATAAATGCACACCGCTGCACTATGTACATGGGCAACACCCCCACTGCCACTGCTGCACTATGCACGCAAGCAGCCACTGCACCATGTGGGCAAGCCCCCCCTCCCCTGCCCCCAACGCCACCTGTACAGGAGGCCCCCAGCTCAGCTCTCTCACTGCATCAAGCCACAAATTCCCCTGGTGCTACGGGCTGTGCTGCCTCACCCCCTAGGGTGGGAACAAGAAGCAAAAGCTGAGGAAGGGAAGGGGAGCTTAGAGACCCTAGATGCAGCAGCAGCTGGAGCAATAGGGAGAGTGATGGCTGAGTAATGAGCCCAGGGACCCCAGACATCAACCCCTCACAGGCTGCCAGTTGGCTAACCCTGCCTTATAAGAAGGCAGTAGTTAAGCTCCATGATTCTGACACAGAGTACCCTACCCACAGCTCCTTCTGCTGAAGGGACAGATGTGCTTGTGTTTGTAACACCATAAATCCTATTTTCAAAAACAACACTGGAATATTTCAATGTATCCCAAATTGGCAAGTTGCTTAAGTCTCCATCTAACTTTAAGCATTAGAGAAATCCACTAAAGTGAATTTGTGCTTAGTCAGGCACTGTGTCTAACTATGTTGCTGAATGAGGTCTTACTGCCATATCTATAAAATATTAACCAGAAGGATGTATCTTTTCAAAAAATCAATGATATACAGAATAGTCTACTAAACAGGGATTCTCTGCTCTCTCAGAATATTTATTACTACTACTTGGGAAGCTGGTGATATCTATTGTAGCTATATATTGATTCTAAACATTGCATATGTTATAGCTATGGTCAATCAATTTAAATACATTAACAGGGGAAAAAAAAGAGTGAATATAGTCCAAGCTGGAGTTGTCTATAAATTCTAACAACTTAGATCAGTGCTTCTAGTTTTTGGCTGGTCACCACCTCTCCTGGCCTTCCTTCCACTCTATTTCCTTATCATTTTCTTCTCCCACACTCCTCCAGCCCAGCATGATTGGAGTTGCATGGCAACAATGAAAACTAGATAACTGTATTTTTCAAAGTAACGCTTACCCGTGCTAAAAGTGTAAAACCTGCATCGGTTAAGTGGGAACATCTTGCAGCTTCCAAAATCCTGGAAAAATAATGGTTTTAAACATTAAAAAATGCCTACTGATCAGTAATTGAAAGCGAATGCACTCCTTTGATTCAACTCCACGTTGTAATTTAAAACTCAGTATCAAGCTTGTAAATCCATTTTCATAATATTTAGCAATTACAAAAAAAAGTGAACCTGATTTCTCATTCGGCAAAGCAGAAAAATGTATCTAATACTCTGCGTTTTTATGACAGATTAAATTCAGTCCTCAATTTTTTTCAGCCTACATGGCAGCCTCAAATCTAGTAAAAATTACAGGACTGTTGGTTGTAGCCGTGTTGATCTAAGGACATAGACAAGCTTCTTTGGGTAAATCTGATAATCTTTTATTAGATCAACTAAAATAGTTGGAAATATTCTTCTTTGGGTACAAGCACCCTACTGCAGGCAGAGGGAGCATCTGCAGTTGTTTTGTGCTTGCTTCGGTGGGATGTTATAAATGTCTGTAAAAAATTAAAGATATTTATAACATACTAGCCAAATGCCTCTCAAGAATGACGGGCGGGGGGGGGTGCAGGCGGGGACAGAGGCCTGCGTTCAGCTCCCCCCCACCTTTGGGGCTGGGCTTGCTCCCCCTCTCCCCAACTCTGCCATGGAGCCAGGCCTGGCCAGGCCCGCCCCTCCCCCCCCACTG